CCCCCCCCCCCCGCCAGACCGCAGGTTCTGGTCCAGGGTCTCAGGAGGGGGCGTAGCACAGGTGGCCCATCCTCGGCTGACGGGGAAGGATTCCCAGCCTCCGCGCCTGCAGATATTCCAAGATGGGGGCCGTCCTGCCCACCCCACAGTGTGCCTGGCCCCGTGCTGCAGGGCTTCTAGTGGGAAGAGCAGAGGCCCTGCACCACAAGGGAGGCTCCCTTGGGGGTGCTTTAGCAGGGCCTGGTTCCTGTGAGCCCTGAACCCCCTCCCAGGCTCCTCAAGTCTCAGCAAAGCAGCAGGTAGAACGGGGGCCTGGGGGAGAGGGGAGGCCAAGGAGGCAGACCCCCGTCCCTGCAGCCTCGTGGCCACGTGGGAGCCTCACTGCAGTGTGTCTGGGCTCCCCTCAGGGCCTCCTGGGTCAGCCTGGGGGCTTCCAGGCTTGGGAAGGATCCTCAGCCAGGGGGATGCTGCCTTGCTGGGGGGCCGAGGCCCCTCGGGAGTGTTCCCCAGCCTGAATGCAGGGGAGCACGGGGGGGGGCTCTCAGGAGGCGCATGGGAGGTGGGCACCACCCAGAGGGGCTTCCTGAGCAGTGGGTGGGACTGGGGCCCTGACCCAGGCATTAGGCCAGCAGGGGCTCCAGGCGCAGGAGCAGAGGTGTGTGGGAGGGGGAAGCGGCTGTGCAGGGGCCTCTGTACCAGGGGCTCTTCCTTGGGGATTGGTCCCAGGGTGGAGAGATGAGAAGTCAGGCCCTGGGTGGGTGTCAGGCGCCTGAGCCTTGGGGGCTCCTGGTGGTCTCCGATGGGCTGAGCGAGTGGGAGGGGGCACTTGGGGACCCAGAAGGCTGGCCGCACGGGTTTTCCTCTCTCCCCTGCCCCGTGTAGACACAGGCCACCCTCCGCATAAGGCTGGGCCCCCAGCCCCCTCCCGGCCCCGCGGCCTGGCAGGCCATTCCTCGCTCCCTTGCGCTCGGCTGAGCCCGGCCGGGGCCCCTCGCGGTTGCCAGGGCCTAGACGCTGGAATGTCGGAGACCCCTGCGCTGGCCCCGCGGCCCCCTCCCGCCTCATACAGGCTGGGCTGAAATCCAGCCCCTCTCCGGGCCTGGGGCACCTCCACGGTTCCTCGGCTGCAGGTGTGCGTGTTCCAGGTGTGCATGTGCCTGTTTTCACTCCCATGTGCACCTGGGGGCATGGGCAGCAGTGTGGGGAGGGTGCAGCCCCAGTGGCCTCGGGGGTGGACAGGCAGCTTCTCTGGAGGGTGAGTCACTACCCCCCTCCGTTCTGGGACTGGCCCGGCACCGAGAGGGGGCAGGCAGAGCGCTGGTCATCGTGAGGCTGGGAAAGTAGTGGGACGGTCCTGCTTGGGGAGGGCGAGCTGCCCTCCCAAACCCCTCACCCTCCGGCTGGTTGAAGGCCGTGTCCTGGCTGGCAGGGGGGCTTGGAGACCTAAGGAAGGACCACGGAGGGTTGACCGGCCCCCAGACACCCCCTGAGGGGCGCCGCTGAGCTCTCTGAGCAGGGTCCCAGCTGGAGTGGGGGTCCCGGCCCCCTTTTACAGGGCGGGAGACCAAGGCTTGGGGAGGGCTGGGCTGTGGCGGGTGGGCCGGGGTGCAGTGCAGACGGATGCTCGCCTGCCCCCAGAATGCCAGCTGATGAAGACGGAGCGGCCGCGGCCCAACACCTTCATCATCCGCTGCCTGCAGTGGACCACGGTCATCGAGCGCACGTTCCATGTAGAGACCCCTGAGGAGCGGTACGAGCTGGAGACGAGTCCCGGCGCCCCAAGCCCAGGGACCTCGGAGGGCAGGCCCCAGGCCTGGGTGGGGCTGCGGCCTCACCCGACCGACTGCCCTGCAGGGAGGAGTGGACAACTGCCATCCAGACGGTGGCCGACGGGCTCAAGAGGCAGGAGGACGAGATGATGGACTTCCGGTCGGGCTCGCCCGGCGAGAACTCGGGGGCCGAGGAGATGGAGGTGGCGCTGGCCAAGCCCAGGCGCCGCGTGGTGAGGCCCCGCCCTGCCGTCGTGCGTCCCTGCCCCCCCAGCCCCTCGCACAGGAGTGAGGGAGGGACGCCAGGTTTGGGAAGGCCCGGGTGCCGTTGCTCCCACCATCCCCCCGAACCCCAGGGCTCCAAGTCGGGGCGCACAGCCCCGTGATCTCCCACGAGCCCCGGACCCCCCGGACCCCTAGGGCCCCACCTGTGCTCGGCCCGGAGGCTGGCCGCGGCCGCCCCGGCCTCTGGCACCCCTCACCGCTGTCGGGCCTCCAGCAGTCACCATGCTGCCCCCTGACCCTGGTGCCTGCCCGCTACCCTCAGACCATGAATGAGTTTGAGTACCTGAAGCTGCTGGGCAAAGGCACCTTCGGGAAGGTGATCCTGGTGAAGGAGAAGGCCACGGGCCGCTACTATGCCATGAAGATCCTGAAAAAGGAGGTCATTGTGGCCAAGGTGGGGCCGGGGCCGGGGCCGGGGCCGGGGCCGGGGCCGGGGCCGGGCCAGGCGCGGCGGGCGGCTCAGTGGGCCCTGTTTTCCAGGACGAGGTGGCCCACACGCTCACGGAGAACCGCGTCCTCCAGAACTCCCGGCACCCCTTCCTGACGGTGAGTCGCCTCTGGACCCCGGGGGGACGGCTCGGGCGCCAGTTGCTGGGGTCGCGTGGTCACTCGCACCAACCCCTCCTCCCCTGTGAATCTGGCGGGCTCAGGGCCCCGCGGACGGCCGGCGGGCCTCCAGGAGGGGCGGGTGGAGGTGCGTGGTGCGGGTCGCCGGTGCACAGAGAGGGCAGGAGGCCTGGCCTGCCCTCTGGCCCGCTGAGAACCTGGGGGCCACGCTCCCCGTGCCCACCCTTCTGCATGGTCTTCCACTGCTTTCCCTTTGAGGCTCACTCCTGGAGGTCCCTGTCCTGGGGGAACCTGGGCCAGGAGCGGTGTATGGAAAACTCCCGGCCTTCTGGAGCCACAGGGAAGTGCCTGGAATTAGTCTGCCGGGCCCAGCCAGCTCTGCCCCCAGAAGGTCAGCAGTCGGGCGGACGGGGCTCAGGACTCAGGCCTTGGGCCACCCGGCGCCGGCCTCCGAGGTCTTGTGCCCGGGACGACCGTGGGCCTGTCCCCTCCGCTCAGCACAGGTGTCCTCGCTCCAGGGGACGGCCTGATCCGAAGCAGGGGCAGAGCAGTGGTCGGACTTGCGGCGATGTTTTTCCCGAGACGTTTTCTTATGAGAAACGTGACTTCAAGAGCAGACGTCGTGTTTGCTCGCCCAGACGTTACTCGTTACCGTGGCTTTGCCTCGTCTGCTTCACTTTGCCCTTTTCCCCTCTGTCTGGCTGGAGGATTGTGAGGAAAAGGCCAGGCCCTGTCGTGCCCTCCGCCCTCCAGTGGGGCCCTGTACGGGACGCTAACGTCGCATTCCGCAGATTCCCTGGTCGGTGCGGGCCGGCGTGGCCGCGCGGGAGCCCAGAGCCGGGGAGGGCCTCCCCGTCCGTGTTTCTGTGAGCAAGCGGTCATCAGCGGGCCTTTCTTTGAAAGCGAGGCCGCCTGTGGTTTGAGGTGTGAGGGCTGCGGGGCCGGCCCTGCAGGGGCGCCGCCTCGCGGTCCCTGGACCTGCAGCCACTGGTCCTCGGGCGCGGCCGGTGGGGCAGCGGGGTGTCCCCCGCCCTGAACAGGGCGAAGCTCCCGCCCAGCTTGAGGGCCGGGCTCCAGCTCTGCTTGCCTCACAGGCCCTGAAGTGCTCCTTCCAGACCCACGACCGCCTGTGCTTCGTCATGGAGTACGCCAACGGAGGCGAGGTGGGGCCCGGGCCCGGGCGGCCCTGTCTGAGCCTCGGGTGTCTGGGTGGCTGCCCTCCCCGCTCCCCGCCTGGTTAGGGTCTGCGCCCCGTGACCCTGGCCCAGGTCGCCGGCCCCGCTCAGGCTCCCCGTCCCGCAGCTCTTCTTCCACCTGTCCCGGGAGCGGGTGTTCCCCGAGGACCGGGCCCGGTTCTACGGTGCCGAGATCGTGTCTGCCCTGGACTACCTGCACTCGGAGAAGAACGTGGTGTACAGGGACCTCAAGGTGGGCGGGGCCAGGGGTCGGGGGTGGGGCTGGG